CTGGATTGTGAGGTTTAAAAGAACCGAGAAATGGAGGCGACGAATTCGCCCCTGCTTGACCATCACTTCCGTACGTGGACCTCGGCTGTACACTGTGAAAACTACGGTTTTGTAAGTGATTTTAGTTGTTCAATGGGAGAAAAATATGGGCGTTTTGTCAATTGGAGCACCACAAAGATTTGTAAATGCAATGGAAATTAGTTACCGTATATAAAATGAATAAGACTGTGAGGCAAGATGAGAAAATCTCAAGTTGTATTATCGTGCTTAAGAATGTTCTCTTGTAAGGAGTAGTTTTATTTTTCACCAATTCACGGAGACAATTTTGAACGGAGATCGTTATTTCACGTAATTTCACTTGAAATATGTTAATAGGGTCAGCGAAACGTAATTCTGTTAACAGCATCGTCCAGCTTTATTTTATTTTGGGGACAAGTCATTCCGTATCAAAGGCTTTGTTCATTATGACAAAAGGAAATATCTCTTTGCGAACTGATTTCAATGTCAATTAACTGTTAGAATTGTCAATAAACGGTTTTACCCTGCGTTTTTACAGTGTACCGTGCACGAGTCCTAAGACCTAAGCGCTCGTAAGGTTATTCGTTTAAGTTTTTGATATCGCTCTGCTTATTCACCTAAGTTACAGTTTCCTTACTTTAAAACATGCTCATGCAACCTCCAGTATCCTCAGTTATTGTTCATGCATCATGGCATGCCTCGGTGATAGGTTTTCAAAGACGTGCCGACGGCAAGAATTATCTGTGTTTTTCTTGGGGGCTTGGTAAACCTTGGTTAAGAAAATTCAGAAAGTCCCGATCAAAAGGGTTTTATTTTATATTCTCAGGGATGAGAATGCCTTGAGCTTCCGAGAGTATTCTATGGCACGTTAGCCGCGAAATAAGCTCGTTTTTTTCTTTATTATTAATTTACCAAACACGAACGTCCTTGGCTTACCTAAAATGATGACTTTCGTGACGCCATTTTATGTTAATTACGACAAACCCGTTTAGTAGCCTTCATATGCGCGTTGGTTGATTTGAAAAATGGTTTCATTGAAGACTGTTCATTGAACATAGTCAACGATGATGACCAAAGAATAACTTTGTCGTTAACGTCCAGTGATTGCGACGTATATAGGGTACGTATTCATGTAGCAATATCGACATAAATGCGTTTTCGGAAAATAACTTCAGGGTCAACTTAACGTTTATAGATAACACTGTAATGTCAAAGTCAAAATACCTGTTACGTAGTTTTAAGTTTACGCAGTTAGACTGTAAAAAATATCAGTCGTAGTTAAAAAATGAAGACACCCTAATAGAAATAAAACTCAGTGGTATTGTTTTCAATTTTGTGGGGAGAACGGGAATACCTGTTTTATCATTGAACCTGCAGTCTCCGTCGACGCGCATCTTTTCTTTAAAGTTATCACCTTTAGGGAGACACTGTATTTAATTAACAGATCGACGTACCGATTGGCGACGTGACGTCGTCTCGCCAAACGTCACCCTTTTAAGCGACACTCCCGGTTTTACGACGAGGGTGCTTAAAGCAATGGGTTTAAGAGGTTATGGGCTATGAATACGGTATTATAAGCCATTACATGTCTTACTACAGGCCATCACACCGCAGCTGTAATCCGAGAGCGCGGGATTCTGCTTCAACGCTTAAAAATTCATATTCCTTTAATTGTTTTGCTACGAGCGTCTCGCATATACCGCGATATACTTTTAAGCATCGAAAAGCTCGTTTCTAATAAAGCCAAAAAGCCATCATTTTTCGATCCTTACGAGGGGGTGTTCTCCCATTCTTCGGAGTTTACGCATCGTAAAGCACCTTCGATGGAAAAGCATTCATTGGATTCGTTCTTTACGAAAATAGATACCTTTGGTAATATTTTCTCGGAGATCGAAAACTCTGTGGGGTACTCCATACATTTTATTTCGATTTAAGTAACGCCGTACTCGCTTCAATTTGACACTCTTGTCATAAATAAGTGCGAGAGTAACCGCAGAAAGTATTGCAATATTAAGTAAACGTACATTCGGAATTCCTACCTTTGAAGCAGAGTTTCGTTTACATATTTTGCGGCACTTGTTTTTGTGAAATGACTTTTATCTTCGCAGTACCCTCGTTTTTACTTAAGCCGGCAGTGTACGCGTTAAGTGCTTCGAAACGTAGAAAGAGAAATACATATTTCATATACTTATTCGAATAGTGAAAGCACTAACGAGCAGAATCGAGCTCTAAATTTGGAAGACCTTAGACGCAAAGTGGCTCTTCAACACGGTCAAATAACGTGAAATACAGTTCCACTAACAACTAACGCCACGTAAAAACTAACAGCTCGTAACAAAGTACACGAGATGGTGTCAAGGCTTGGAAGGGAGAGAGACGTCAAAGTTGACACTAAGGTTAACGTTAAGTGTCGAGGTTCGAGTAAGTCTTCCCTCGATGCGATTTTCCGAGGGTTTGCATTCGGACACGGTCATTTGTCAGCTACTCACGAGTCACAGGGGATTGTTTCGACTAATCGTTACGACCACCCCTCGCAAATCCCAAGAAACAGCGAACTCGGTTGCACTAGGATACATCTTATCGTGTACCACGACGGATCGAAAAAGCCGTTCGTGAATTAGCTGCGCGAACAATTGTGGGTCTGTGCTCGGAATGTGCATGCAGTGCAGTCGATCCCTTCGTCGGTGAAGCAGTGCAATTTACAACTTTGTGGGTCATCGCAAGAAACTCCAAACGTTCTCTCGGAAGATGTCAGGGTGCAGCAGCCTAAGGCGGAGACTTGATATCGTAGAGGGTGAAAGTTGGAAGTACCGACAGCCCTTGCAGGTACTTTACACAAAACTTGCCGACTTGAGAAAATCACTTAAACTATATCGCCCCCGAGGCAAGGCGGAAAAGTTACGACCTCAAGATGCAGTCGCATTTATTTTCATGTCCGACCAGAGAAGTTAACTATTAACGGCTCGGAGATTTCCCGAGTAATTCGCTAAGAGAATATTTCCTCAAGGTGCTCGAGGGTTTTCTCCCGGCTCAAAAGAAACAAGCTAACGCTCTTAACGTCTATTCGGATCGCCGTGGAATCTGAAACAATCTTTCTGTTAGATTTCAGCGGTCTTGCAAGAAGCTGACTGTCGAGATTCTTTCGAAATGAACTATCGGGGAAAGGGTCTGTGCAACTTTTACTCGTCGCGGAAGTTCTTTTCTGGGAGTCAAAGAAGGGGACTGGAGAAAGAATCAATCCCTTGGGGTATGTGCTTTCGTCGATGTATCGGGAATGAAATCGTATGCACTATTGTTCTGGATTATGAAGGCGTGATGTAATTTAGAATTGGTCTGACGTTTAAAGTTCAAATCCAGTCGAGTCGCCTGAGAAAAGACTCCCCTTAAAGATAATACCGATTGCTCAAAAGTAATATTGCAATTATCAATTCTAATCCGCACAAGCGCTTGACATTTCTTTACGAATTCTTACCAAGGCATATCACATATTGGCTCTAAAAGCATCGCGTCGTAAATACGAAACAAATCAGAAATGTCGGTATACTTCTACTATGTATGTCCATATTTCTCACTGAAGTTCATTTTCACTGAATAAATTCATTTTCCCAACGTACAACTACTTTACCCTTGGAAAGAATTTTACGATTTATAAAAAATATCTGTTTCAGACTTTCTGTAACCAAAAGAATTCCTTTTAGACTTAGGTAATCAATGTTGAATTTATTGTCCCTCAATAGTAATTATGTCAAGTTATGGGATAATCTTTTCTCGGGTCTGACTCGAAATGGAAACTGTCAGTGTCAAATGTACCGCGAAATAGACCGATCGCGTCGACACCTCGCCAAGGCAGAAACAACATCGGCAGACCTAGTGCTCCAGTAAGTGCGTGCTTCGTGCTCATTGTCAGAAAGGCGAGAGCGACGGTATCGATGCGATTCGATCGAAATCGAGCGAATGACTGGAACAAATCGGATCGAGAATATTAGACCATCAACTAGGACTACTCGATTCCCCTCATGGTTGAAAACGATTTGGATAGAAATACAGTTTGCAAGATTGACAATACAGGATTCATCTTTTCGGAGAGACTGAGTAGCTCATAATGAAACGTATAATTCCACGAAAATTAGCATTCATCATCAAATTTTATTTCTTCTATATCCTTTCCTGATTTTCTTTTCTATAAAAGCTTATTTAACGGTGTATTAGACATTGCAAGTTCCGGTGACTAAAAAATATATGAATGTCTGAATATATAAATGGCGTTACTCTTTTAGAGTACGATTGAAATGAGTTTTTAATATTAGCACGTACGTGATTCTACTTTTCCGAATTTTTTATATGTACCTCGAAGAAGATCTTATATCGTACATTCAACATCTTTGGGATCTTTGTCTCGTGTATAAGTCTGATTCTTCTAGCGACACCTTTTAATCGCACACCACCCACGATCCAACGAGTAGTCCTAGTCGACGGAATACCATCCTTGAGATCAGATCCTTTAAGGCGTCGCGAAACCCACCAGAAGATCTACAATGATCTGCAATTTGACAAAATCCTACCGTCAGTTTTCTCGTTCATGCTCAAAATCGCTTCTGCTCAAGGCTTCTTCGGAAGACCTCTCGTGTACCACTGATAAGCCTATCAAGAATTGAATTTTTAGGAACGACCAGGGAAAAACAACGACGAAGTATGGTCGAATTGCAGATCCTAAGAGATCCCCGGGCACCTTTCGGTCCACCTGGTCGGAGAAACGTCTCAGAGTCGGAGAAGAGATCCGCGGATGAAACGCGTCGTTTTAGGGCTGGGTGGTACTCATAGCAGAGCATGGTGCAATTAATGCAGTGCTGAGGTGCAGGCACGCGTTTATAGTGCAGAATAGGGTTAAGTACGTCCTTTAGGCGGACTCGGTTAGATGGTTAGATAGTTACCCGGAGCTTGGCGCCACTGTGATCTCCACTCGCGGAGGATGAAGAACTCACCCGGTATCCTCCGAGGTTGTTCACGACGCAGGTAAAGGTAGCGTCTCGCCCTTGCGGGATCGTTACGTTCTCCAGCGGTTTAAGGAAGTCTGGCTCCAGCCCCGTCACTGAAACATTCCAGAGACAACGTTTTATTACCTCCACTTGTCGCCCCCAAAGTGCCTTCTTTCCCCCGAATCGGCGAGCCATTTTTCCGAGGACACTCGTGAACTCGCGTTAGTTATTCATTGCCGACTTGGCGCCATTTATATGCATTCGCCTGGTAACATCTTTTAGGTGTTAGGGATTTATCTCCTGCCTTGGAATGGTAGCTTTAAAATTTGGAGGCTTCTTACAGCGCTCGTTCTTGAGGTTTTATACCTCCCCGCCACCGGGCGAACGTTTTCATGAATGACTCATGAAGCAAATCTCGCTCACCTCTGTACCGATTACACGAAAAGTGGTAGCAGGGCATATCCAAGCAGGTCGAAATCTTTAAAGAGTATTTTTCTCGCGGTATTTATCGAAACCAATCGAACCGAAGAGTTACCCAGGAAATCGCGCGTATCGTCAACGACCCCATCAGAATGTTCTTGGCAGATTTAACTTTGAAGAAATCTTCTTTCCAAAACCCTGAACTTTCAAGTGCACGTCGAAGCACTAGTTCCAAGGGCTTGAAACGTCTTTACCTTTTTGGCCCGATACGGTATAAATTCATTTTTAATTCGAAAACTGACTGAATCACCCGGGATATCTCAAGCACTCCTTCAAAGAGGCTCCCGCTGAAACGTGCCGTGTAATTGCTCTTCCCCTGTACCTCGAAGTGGAATCAACCGCCTCTATTTAATAATTCAAGATTGACCGAAACTCCTCCACCTCGAGCATCGTCTTCTCGTAGAAATCGGGGCGCAGTTTTCGCAAGAACGATCGATTTTCCGATCCTCGGGCAAGGCGGTACATGGAACGTGTTTTGGAATTGTGCCGACGGCTGTTTGTACAGGGGAAAAAACGCACGGGCGTATTGAATTTGAATTTACAGCGCGCGAAGATCCAGGATATCCCGGCAAGTCATGGCGTGGCATACGGAGGACGGCATTGCGAGCCGAGTTTTACGAGGGTATTTACATGAGCACAATATTTTATAGGCCACTTAATACCGGGTCACGTTCCATCCTAAGGCAGCTCGCAGGCCGCTCACCTATGAATCAAAGTGCGCTTTAAAGATTTCTCCCTTATCCCGTCAGTCGACCGGATAAGCGCCGGAAGGACGAGAAAACGGATCCGCAAGGAATCCTCCCCCTTCCCGCGAATTATGCAACTTTCCGCCGTACGAGCAACGCGAATTACGCTGCAAAGTGTTTTCGGCATGAAAACTTGAATACCTTCGTGGCTAACAGTATCCTTACGCAAACGGGGAGAATTAATGCGAGCGTTGAAATTTATTTCTGGGGTCTGACGCCGCAATCATGTGAAGTGGTTCGAGACCTAAAAAATCGCTCCTGCCGAAACGATTAAAAATAGGAGCCGCTAAAGGGATTGAAATCCTGCTTTTGTGTCAGAAAGAGAACGCTGCTTTCTCTATTCAGGTTAATGTATGTAAAGTACTCGAAGGGAAAAAATATTCTTTTCTAGTGTCACCTTTTCTCTGCTGTTTCGGTTTTAGGGATTCTGAAAACCAGTTTAAAAAAAACTATTGTTACAGAAGGCGAACAAGTTGTCGATGAGGTTTATCGTTATTGTTACGGAATAGTTTACTCAAGAAGAACCAGCTTCCGTAAACAATTAGCCAAATACATTTATCTTTTCTCAATTAATCATAAAAGACCCTCGAATCGATTATTTTGACCAAACAGTACATTTTGTTTTATGCAAGATTCCAGTTTGTCTATTCAAAACAATTAGAATTTCTCTCAAAATTATATGTCCACAGAAATCTAGTTTTTAACTTCATCTAACGAAATTAAAAGAGGCAGGAACTAAATGTGAAAACAAAATTTGATTTGGTGAGCATTAAAATAATGATCATAAGTGCTACGAGTATCTACACAGCGGGTCGTTCGCGAAATAAAATGTTTCCAAATTTGGTTTCTGATTTTTTTTTATTAAGTTGACGTTGAAAACTGGAGGGAAATTCTAATTGTTTCAAATAGATGTACAGGGGTCTCACGTGAAACAAAATGTACTTTGACGTTTGGAAAAATAATATGTGTGAAAAATTAATTCGCGTTTTTAAAAGCATGAGAGTTCTATCGTATTTGGTAAAAATAGTTCATTTAAGCTTTTTTTTGAAGAGATTACAGAATAGTGTATAGTGATCTGTTTGACATTAAACTAATTAATGTGAGCACATTTGTTAAGTGCGAATTACCGAGTATTCGAAATTTGATCGTGAGCTTTAATCGATACGTACTTACTAAATAATGCTTTGTCATGGGTAATGCTCTTTCTACATCGAAATAAAGTTTTCACGGTAGATAGTAACTGATATAGATTGTGCTCATAAAGAACAAAGTTTATCGCTTATATTCTCTTGCACAACTTACAAAGAGCTTTCTAAGGAACCATGGATTAATTACCCAGGATACAAGGTACTTTTAGGTGATACAGTTAACTTCCTCGTTACAGGACAAGGATGTCCCATCTCCTACAATTAGCGCAAAACAGATCATACGTTGCAGTGCAGAATGAAATCAGAAACTTCGCGACAAGAATATCCCATAAAATCGGGCATAGAAAAATGAAAATATTCAAATACGTATATTATTAACCCTAGAACTCACGAACGGGATATAAATCCACCCCAGTAGATTTAGCAACTTTGCTCGTAAGTCAACAATTCTTGTCGTTTATCGGTCATTGAATGGGGTTTTCATCAACGAAACATGACTAAAATTGAATTTTGTCCTTACCATTCGTTTGCTCATTAATAACCGAAAAAATTCGCCTACTAACGTTTCATTTTACTGTTGATGGGAAGTATCTTGTCAACGAGAAACAAACGGAGTGGATATCTACCTCATCTGGAAAAATTGATACATGAGACCTAGAGTTAATACTAAACTTTTACTTTCATGCAATTTAGTTACAGGGAGGATCTAGCTTGATTTACTGAATATTAATTTTATTATTTAATTTTATGGAATCGGTTTAGAGTTTCCAATTGCTCTCAATATCTTTTCCCTCCCCAGAACTTTATTTTCTTTAGCGTGGCTGCTATCAGCCATCATTTGGCAACGCAAATGGAGCGGAGCAATATTTAAAAAATATCTGGGCGGAACCTAATGGAGACTCTTCTGCCTTTTCGGGATTTAAACCCGGAGCGAGTCTCTGCACTTTGCGTTTCCCGAGGGTCCTCCGGGGTCCCTTCGGCAACAATAAAAGGTCTGGCAGACAGAAGATCATCTTTGACCGGTTCCACCGTCTGCCATATTCCTGCGGAAGCCGAGAGGGTCGCCATCCGACCATTAGCCGAAACGGTTTCGGGAAAACGACTAACCTTGGAGTGCTGGAGCGGCACTTTCGATTTTAAACTTTATCCGCGTGAATCTAGGGAAAAGTCTGCCAATTAAAAGTTTGCGCATGTTCCTGTCGGATCTCGGGAGAGAACGCAACGTCGGGGAGTGCTGCACCGGCACGTTCGATTTTAAACTTCATCCATGCGAATCTGTGCCATAAAAAGTCCGCGAGACAAAAAGACCGAGAGCTTTTCTACTGGTGTACGATCCTTACGTCCTTGGTTATCATCGTCCCGTGGAAAGAGATTTTCTCGCCGAAGCGTTTCCTACGGAAAGAAAAAAATTGCTGCTATCGGGCGAAGTTACAACGTTAACTGGGGCTGTATCTTAAGTTTCCTTAACGAGACAAGTACCGTGAATCTTAAACGAGTATAATAAGCGATCGAGTGAACCGGCACGAGTAACGAAGTGAAAGGCGATTTCGTGCAAAATCACGACATTCTCGGAGTTGGCGTTGAATATTAATTTCACTTATATTTATATACGACGCTATCGGGGATTAACTCCACTCGCGATATCAAGACCGAGGATCAAAACGTGCTTCCCCCTCCATTTGAGTTATTTTTCATAGAAAACGGTTCTTTACAAGATCGCGAAAACGATATTCTGGGATGGTTTACGCGTGAATAAAGTGAATTCGAAGACTCGTCTGGAAGGTATCCTCGCGAAGGTAGGAAAACTTGCACCGCGCTTTTGAAACGTCAAATTCCGAAATTGAAAGTACCCTCGGTCGGGATTCTGCATGACTTAAAAGACGGATTCGTAGGGGGTGAAGAGGAGACGCCCAAAGAGGCGCCGATAAAAGCGGAAAAGAGAGATTTCGAGGAGTGGAGGATACGAGGAGTCAGGTGTGACACTCGCGGAAGTCCTCCTGGAAAGGGCGATACGTGTCCTGGGTCTTGAAAACGACTTCCGGGACGCCGCGAAGAGTCTGGCGTCCGCGTCGCTTATGTATAACCCCGACTGCGACCGATGGAAATGCAATTATTCTTACAATCAATTTGGATAACTCGACGGAGAACAGACGCGCAATTGGTAACGCGATTACCGCATTAGAAGGAGCTACCGCGACATCGCTCTTCCCTGGCTCTCTTCCCTCTCTTATCCCCCTCACCCTTCGGCTCTCCCTTTTTTCACATTTTTCTTTTTCCCTGTCTACCTTTTTCCTTTTTCCTTCCGTCAATTTTCGTCCCGTTCCCTTACCTCACCCACCCTAACATAATTCTCCTTTCGCTCTCTACTCCGCTCCGTCCTGTATTTTTTCTTCGCTTATTTTTCTTTCTTCTTCCCTCTTAGGCTCTCTTTTTATCAATTCGCCTCGCCCTCCCAGCCTGCGGCTCCCTTCGCGATATTGTTCCACCTCTTTTGACCTCCTTCCACGTCCCCGAGCCGGCACGTGTCCTTGATCTTCCGTCCCTCCTTGCGACGCGGAAACGGAGACGAGGAGGACGCCTCGCCCTCGTCCTGCCTTTCTTCCGTCACGTCGACGGGAGATAGAGTAACGTGACGGAGAACGCGAACGTCAACAAGGAGGGAGACGGGAAAAGTATTTATGGTTATCCCGAGGCGTAAGGCAACCGAGAATTTAAATGAGCACCGAAAAATATTATACGAGACAAAGGAGGGACTATTTGCTTTCGAAAGTGGACCGTCTCCAGCGGGATTGATACCGTTTTATCAAGGACGAAAGAAAGCTTGGAAAACCAAGGAAGTGGCATCCCAATAAAATAGACTTTGTCCAACATTACATCGAAACCCATGAAAAGTTCACCCGTTGAAATAATATAAACAACGATGCACGCTGTAACATAAAAAAACATAACATAATTCTCTGGTGAATGAATCTCTTGACATTATTGGCAGATTAATTTAGTGAAATCTGCAAGTGGTTAATTATGAATATATTTTATATGTAAATCGAAAGCGTTGGTGCGGATGTACTGGACATCCGACTTGACAG